GTAAAACTCTCCTCCCTCCATTTGCATTTTCCAGGAGGGAATGAATCTTTCACTGCATGTTACACATTGATCTGTAAATAAATCACACGTTTAGCCTGTGTGGATATTTTTCATGTGTGTAACTTACCACACAATGCCACTTGATTAAAGGCAGTTGTGATTAATCACTTTGACATGATCACAAGTTAGGGCTGACATCTCCAACTTATTTCTAGGCAAATTCTAATAAATATTCTACAAATTATGGAAGGGAATCTAGAGCCTAGCATCTATATATTCTGATTATTTTAAATATGAATAGATATTTAGAAGGCAAACAGCTGACATGTTGAATCAGGCAGTGATATATTTTTTTTAAAGTATGGTGCATTGCTAGAGCATGGTGCTTCCAAGGTAAGTACCATAACAAAGCGTTGTACGTGTAGCACCTTATAGCATAGGGAAATACTACTTTTATACTTTAGCTGGTTTGAGGGCACAGTAGATCCCTGGAATTATATGGGCTAATTAGGTCAATTTAAAGACTTTCAGAAAGACAGAAAAACTTGTTCTGGGTGGTCTGAGAGGCTGCACCTCTGATCATGAGTTACCTTAGTAAAGCAGTGCCCATACCTAGCAATATCACAGCAAAACAGAACCTTTCTAGATAATGTGGATTAGCCTCCTCAGGGAATGAAGCTCACTTTGTATGCAAATGTAGGTAGACTACATAAGCCCCTGTGGGGTTCGAATACTGTGTCACAGCTGTAATGCTTTAGAACTGCATGGTTATGTGCTGTTGGTTCCTTAGTTTCTTCTCACAGGTAAGGGTGAGCAGAATAGATCCCTCTCCCTCCTGAACTAAGTGGATATAAAGCCTCTGTGGGACCAAGTTCTGCTTTCTATAGCTTGTTGGCCAGACCTGACTATCAGATTGCAAAAATTTAAGGATGTTTTGAATTTGGTTTCTTCAAAGATATTTCTATCTTTTAGAAATATTTGGCCGCACCAGAAAAAGTAGGGTTTCCCTTTTCTGTAATACCTTCCTACCACCTGCTCTCAAAGCCAAGTGTCATTGGGAGCACTGTCCGCTTTTCTTCCACAGGTCTTCTCACCTGTCCTGCCAGCAGCTGAGCCTCATTCTGCTGCAGACAGAAACCTGCAGAGTTTAATGAGACTTATGTTTGTACCAAGTAATTAACTGAGTGGGTTTCCCCACATCTTACTACGATGCTTTCTGCTCCTGACCTGAAAGTCCAAACCAGCTCTTTGTACCAAGCCCTCACATCATGTAGAAGAAGCTAATGTGAGCAGAACTGGCCTGACGTGTAGCAGAAGGGTGGGAGCTACTCTGCTGTGGGTGCTTATGAGGGAATAGGTAGCTGCCTGCATCAGTTCTTTTGCAGGGAGTAACCTGTGTCACTTCTCAGCACAGATATTATAGGATAGGCACTTCATGCTTGCAAGCATCTTCTGCAGGAAATAGCTATTGCTCCACACTGTGTAAGCAGGTGTAAAAGGAATGAACAGGACCTAAGTGTTGGAGGGGAATTCCTAGGCCTTTCTTGAAAAGCATTCCAGTTATGAATGCAGTTATGGCAAGCCACTAGAGAGCAGCATTAGATTAGGACTTCCGCTAAGTGCCTGAACAATTTATGTGAATAAAACAAAGCATTAGGATGACAGCAGTTGATAAGTGCCTGAACAATTTATGTGAATAAAACAAAGCACTAGGATGACAGCAGTTGGACACTGTGGTTTGAGACCAGAGTTTAACAGAATAATGGAACTGGGGAAGTTATACAGCTGTTAGTCCTATCCGGCTCAGCCCTTGGAGTCTCAAATACTGAAACTAGCCATGACAAGAATTCCTTCTTTGCAGCTGGTCTCCAGGAACCCACCTTTCCCCATCTATCACGATAGAAAAGTAATAACATGCTCTTAGTCGATGGTTACGGCAAACCAGATAAAACCAAGTTATAAAAATTTCAGCTGATTCACTCTCATGTGTCTCTAGCCATTAGCTCAGGCTGAGGCTCCCTGACATCTTCGGTCATCTCCAGGGCAGAGTCTCTTTGGTCTTGCACTTCTCCCTCTCTAGTGCTTCCTATGCTCATGCTGTCACTGGAGTGGTAAGAGATGAATGGCAGTAACAGGGTCCAAACGCTCTTTGATTTCAAACTAACTTCAGCACATCTCACTTGGGATATTTACGCTGAGGACTTTGGAATTTAAATGAAATTGTTTTATTTTTTAATAAAAACATACCTAACCCATAGAAGTATGGCAATATAATGTTATGACACAAGATACTCTAACCCACACTAAAACTGACTGCATATATTAAAACTAGCATTCAAGTGTTCCATGCTTGCTAGTAACCTCTTCTATAAAAGGTTTGCTGATACAGGTTTGGTTGTAACTGGGATAAAGTAAGCACTAGGCACCAGGAACCAGATTCACAAAATATTCTTCTTGTGGTTGTGACCTTTGCTACAAGAGCCAAAATATTTTTATTTTATTAATTCAGATCAATGACAGTCTAAATTGATAAATGAAAAGCAGGAAGCTCTTTTTCTTCTAGTCAGTGAATAATGAGGCATTAAAGCATGTTTTCACTAATCCTAGCATTGTGAAGGACACTCTCTGTAAACAAATACTGTGTTTAACAACTAAGTTTTAAACACTAAGTTTTACGCATATTTTTATTTAGCTCTTTTCAGCTTTTTATAGGATAACAGTATTGTTTTATGGCTAAAAGATTATTTAAAATTGCTATTCAGCAGAATATAATTTTTGTCCAAATGCAGCATGATGTAAAAGTATAAAGAAAAACTGTCATCTAGTAAGGGAAATACTTTTTGTGACATAAAAATTAATGTTCTTAATAAATGTAGTAAGAACGTATAAGAATCTTTTAAACATGTATAGGCATGGTGAATCCTCCCAAAGAGTCACGAACTACTTAAGCTTCTCAGCTGCTTGTTCACCTTACTGCTTGCTCACTAGCAATCAGTAATATAACCTTCAGTGCGAATAGCTGGAAAACTGAGCTTTGGAGTCTATATTCCACTGGACTCTTACCAGACAATTACATGGCCTTTTACTCTCCTGTGCTTTGTTTCACTTGAGGTTCATACCTGCTACTGCTTTAGCCAAGGAAGGTGGCAAACGTTAAGGGGAAGAAGAAATGCCCTGTGTATTTTCGCTTCTGATGGTATGTATTACTGATACAGAGCTAGATAAAATCTATACTTAAATACCAACAGGTATTTGGGTTTTCTACCTCTGCCATTCAACATTATGCTGAGAGGGACTGGATTACATGGTGATAAAGTGCTCCATCTCTGCCTTGGAATGAAGATGAAACTATGTGAGTATCACTAAGAAGAGAATGGGATAAACATCGCATTAGAATTATTAAGAAACAGCAGTGATAATATGTTTGGCAGATCAAGGGCAGTATGTCTAAGAAATAGTAATGGCAAAAGACAGCATAAGAAAGGGAGGGCAGACAGGAAAAAGAATGCAAGTTACAGCTGTGTAATCAAATTGTTTGGAAAGATAATGAGACCCAGTCCTGAAAATATTCTATCAGAATATCAAAGCAGATGCAAAGCAGACAAAACAGCATCTGCAAGGCAGCTTTTTATGATGCATTAACAGTTGATATGAGACTTCGGGCTGTTAAGTAGCCTAGAAAAATGCCCAATTCCTTCTGGCAATCAAGAAAGCGTGTTAAGCCACAGTGTAACTTTCCTGGCTTGGGGATGACTGGTTTGTGGTCTGCAGCTGGAGTCATTATGACATTACGAAGAGCCTTTTACAAACTGGGTATGCAAAACTGCATGGCAGAACTTCAAAGGGCCTTTCCAGCCCTCCCTCATGCACACGTGGAGTGACACAGCTCCAGGTTCTGCACAATGCTCTGGTTTTTGTTTTTCCTGCTTTTGCTGTCTAATAGCTTCTGCTCTCTCCCCTGTCATTTTGTAGTGTGTAGCCGTGGAACTGTGCTTGTTCCTCCCTCTGCCTCTTTTGATCTTGATCTCCAATAGATGGGGGGGTTGTTCTGAACCGTGCACCCATCAGGAAGACTTCTGGTAACCAATATAAGACAAACTAATAAGGACTTCTGAACTTCATCCTCTTTTCAGACAGGGAAAATGGGGTTCTTCGTGTATGCACCTCATAATTTCCATGCAGATTATACTGAAATAATAACTGTGTAGATGAATTCTGGAAGTCACAAAATATTTCACATATTTTAAAAGCTTAGAAGCATAGTATCAGTAGGGTTAAAATGAAAATATTAGAAAAGTTTTATTTCAAATCAGCTAAGATTTTCCTAGCAAAGTACTCTTAAAAATAAGGGATCAGCTATTCCTCTATCTGGAAATACCTGTCAAAGACTACCCTCTGCCATCACCTGCTATGAGTTTTGCCTTTGCAGGCAATTGCAAAGGTTTTCCTGTCTGTTTTCTAAAGCAGATCTTGAGGCTTTTCTGCAGCACTGGGTATTCTGCAGGGGTTGAAGCTTGGTGGAGAGGCGTGCAGGGAGAGGGCAGGCTGAGAGCCAGGCTCTGGACCTTGGCAGAGCAGGGTGGTTGCTGGCAACAAGTTAAGGAGTTTCTATGACAGGTAATCAGTGGGGATGGGTCCAAGGCTTCCTTCAAGACTGAGTTTTACTGTAGACAGACTGCTAGCAGATGTCCAGTCTCTCAGTCAGCAGTGAGGGAACCTGCAGCAGCTCGTGGGTTCCTCAGAGTTAAAGATGAGTCACTTTAAGGTTGCTGGATTTTCTTATTGCTCCGCTTCCTCTGGTTTCTGAAGATAAATAAGTATGAAATGAGAGCCTGGCAATTCTCTTGGGAGTTCCTGCCGCTTGTTTGTTTTGTGAAAACACTTCATGTTCTCTAATTTTGTACACTTGTTAACAACAGCTTTCCTATAAAACTTCTCCTGAGAAAACTAATCACAGCTTTGAGAACACAGCTGCAGAACACAGAAGACCACCTCAGAAACTTGAAGATGAAGTATCTTCTTCTGCCAGCTAATTTAGCATTTCTCTATAGCTTTGTGCTGAGTAAATCTATCCAGGTGTGTCCCTGCTCTCAGAGCAGTTAAGAATTTACATTGCTGCTGCTGAGTTGGTCTGACTGTCTTAAAATTAATTACAAGCATTAACTGCTGTGATTTTACACGACAGAAATTTTCTGCTATGCAGAGCATATGCTAAGCACATGCTAAAGGATGTACTTGTTTTTTTTTTTTTTTTTTGCAGATAGCTACAAGAAACAATGACTTAGGTGAGTTTGATTTTAATTACTTTATACGTAACTGCAGGTTTTGGTGGGGGCTGCTTCTCTATACCTTGTTTTCCTAATTTTGTACGGTTTTTTTCCTCTGAAAATGCCCAGCATCAGTGGAAAACAATTCATAAAATTCAGAGCACGTGTGTGTTTTAAAGTTGCATTCAGTTTCTTTATTTGTTGTCACGGTAAAGAAAATAGAGTTGAGTAATTGCTCTAACGAATGGTTTTTTTTTACATGAAGCCTCAGTAAATTAGAATCCTTTTCACTTTGATTTCTGTTATATGCAACATCAAGTCACTTCTGTGTCTGCTGTACCCAAAACTATTGTACATTTTTGGCATAATAACCAGTAGTTCTTGTCTGTGAGAAACGTATTCCAAGTATTTGGGAGTCGGAACTGTGGAGCCTGTCGCAATGTTGTATGTCAAACTAACAGGTAACCTAGAAATTAATAGCTAGCATGTACCCAATATGCATGATAGAAAGTCATTGCTTTTCTATGGTTTTTCAGAGGTCACTTATGACTTCTCTTTAATTCCACAAGCTCTAATGAAGAGAACAATTATTTACAATGCTAAGAGAGCCTTCCACTCTAAAGCTCCCAAAACTTCTTAAGGTAATACGTATTTAGTCACAGCTTTAATTATAGCTGCACTGACATCTATATTAATCTCTTCTATCCAGGAAGTTGCACCTCATCAGTCTTAGCACACTATGTTATGCACTCAGTACTAATTTGCTGATCCTTTTTTACATTACTGGAAAGTAACCCTTCAGTGGAAGAAATTTCCAAAGGTACAGAAGCTTGGTTAGTGCATGTCTTTCATCTCCCTTTTGCACTTCTGAAATTTGCCTTCTTGTATGCTTTCTTTTTTCCTCTGCCAGATAGTGGAACGGCTGTTTACGAAGGAGACATCCTCTTGAGAAGAGTGCAACGCAGTGCAATTAACTGTGAGAGTTGTTTATGGCCTAAGTCACAGGATGGACTAGTCAAGGTTCCAATTAACATCTCTTCTGATTTCTGTAAGTGCATGCAAATGGATGACATGAAGTTAGCATCAATCTTCTGGTCACTGAGTTCTGTGCCTTGTTTCACGATGGTTCTGGGGCATGCATCAAAAGCACTTAGTCCAAAAGAGAACTTTTTGATTTATCTCTTCTGCTAATCTGTTGGCCCGATGAATAGTTTGGCTGACTCCAAATATGCTAGTTACCAACACTAAAATACGTGGTTATTTGGGCAGTACTTGTTATGCAAATAGCAGTTAATTCATTTTAACTACAAATACTAGTTCATTCCTACTAGCTACAGTGCATTTGCTGATATTTAGCAAGTACAGAAGACAAAATACAACCTGCTCTCACCATAAATATATTAGTGTCAAAATGCATTATTACCAAGAACACTTTTCAGAACTCTTTCAACTCTCCAGAAGAAATGTTCCCCCACTGGAAATCCGGCAAAGGAAAAAATGCAGGGTTTTTTTTCTTACTGTTTTCCTGAGGTCAGTCAATAGATTTTTTTCCAGTGGACAAGGTTGCAGGACCAATGTGTTATTCTAGAAAATTGTTCTAGAAGGCTCAATATCAGCTGTGTGGGTCTTCCATCTCTCCCTCTCTGAGGCTTCCATAGAGATCCTTCTGAAGATTTCTCTTTGAGGGGAAATGATATGGAAGTGAAATACAGCCTGAGCCTAGTTCCCATTCCTGGGGATTCTTTATGCTATTATTTGAGCAGGAGAGGGTTGGGGAGAGCCCAGTCTCTGCACTATATTACGGCTGTTCCTCTGCCCCTATGCACTTCTAGAACTACAGCACATACTCTTGTTGGTTAGGTAAGGGTTATTCTCTCTACCTCACTCTCCCCAAACTTTAAAGTTGAGGAAACTGAGATACAAAGCAGTTGGAAATGATTCATAATTGAGGAAGCTAAATTAGGCCAAAATGTTCAAAAGTAGATAAACACTTCAATCTATATTTGGCGCCTGAATAGAAATGCTGTGATCTTCAGAGCTTCTGAACGCTGGCTGCCTCAAATGACTTCAAGGGGTACATGGCAAGCTTTCATTGTCTCTGATAAGCTAGTTTTTCTGTGTTTAACTACTGTCAGATAGCTCATTTGGGATACTCTAATCCAATTATTTGCATTTCAAGCTTTGTTTCACTTTTTCCCTCCTGTCTAACAGAGAATATAATGCCAGTCCTTCGCTTTCCCCCACCCATCACCTACCACCTATAGAATGCATAAGGGCCAGCTGTAATAATTGCATCTCCCCTTCAAAGTCTAATCAATTTGAAGATCTCTAAGGCTTTGTGCCCCTTTTTCTGATTGTATTTATGCTAAAAAGCTAAAGTAGTGTGGAGATTAAGAGGAACGCCCCCATCTTATTTTACACTGATAAACCAAGTAAGGTTTCTCCTGGCCCCTTTCTCTTCCCAGCAGCAACAGAGAGGTCTTGGATTGCTGATGCTCTGCAAGAGGTCTCCACGCTGACCTGTGTGCAGTTTGTAAATCGCACTACAGAAACAGACTATGTACACATTGAACATGGGCAGAGGTAAATTCCCTGACTCCTGGGAGTGGGAGCACCTAAAAATTGTGGGTTTATTCCTTTTGGTTTGTATTTCAGCTTCTTTCCTGTTTAGTCTGGATTCAAGTAATTCCCCTTTCTTATCCTAGGAGTCAAGATTAAGAGGGCATGTGCAATTTTTCACTTTTCTTTATACTGATAGTTAACCACGCTGCTTATGGGCTGCAGAACAAATTTGTGTGGACTTCATTGAAGATAATAGGGTATAATTCAAAATGGGATATTCTCCTTAAATGTTACAAAAAATTTAGGAAGAAGTACAATTGCTTCAGGTTCCTTGTTTAACTACTTGAACTGTTTAATCTGTTTGACATATCCCATTTACCGTTTTAAAATTTACCACACTTACCACAAAAGCTTTACTTCTCCCTTTCTGCAGTTTTAGTCTGGCAGCTTGCAGTAGCCAACTATGTCACAGCAGTAACTATTTGCATGTCCCCTGTGGCTGCACATCTAGAAGCCCCTGGTGCCTTAATTGGTACATCTATTTCTCTGCATGTGCTGAACACGACCGTTTCGGCTATTGATTGGCTATTCTTAGCTGCTGGTCTTACTTTGGAAAAATTGGAGGACGTCAAGCACTAGGCCTGATGAAAAATGGCTGCATGGATAAAGGAGCAATTCAGCATGAAATGAACCATGCACTGGGCTTCATCCATGAACAGGCACGGAGTGACCGGGACAGTTTTGTCAAGATTATGTGGGAACATATTGCGGCAGGTATGTCCACTAAATCTTAAGAGAAAACTTGCAGTTTTGAATATAAAGGAGAATGTTTCTTCTGCAAACAGCAATATAACTAATCATCATTAATACCTAGCTGAGTTGTAGCAGCAGTACTTCAGTGTGATGGCATTTCTTGATCAGGGTTTATTTTTACTAGAGGGATTTCTGCTGCCACAGCTATGTTAGCATATTTTTGATGGAGGTGCAGCCTAAAATTAGGTCTACGCTCTTATGTTGATCACAGCCTGAGCTGAGACTCACCTTATATATGCAGTAACAAGGTAATCAGGAATATGACACATTGTAGTGAGGAGAAAAAGGAATCATCTGCTCTCTGTTGTGGGGAGCACAGGTTGTAATGGGCTTGAATCACTTGAGATCAGATCACATTAGGGAAACACTTCTGGAAATGAAAATGGTAAAGCACTGGAATACGTTGGCCAGGAAGGGCACAGAGTCCTTGTAACTGGAGCTTTTCAGGATGTTCTGGAGGTCTTTTTTAGTTCTGTTCTCTGTGATGCTCTCTGTCTGCAGTCTGGGTGAAGGCTTATGTAAGCTTTTGCGCATGTCAGGAATGTAAACCACCAGTCTCTTCTGTTCTTTAGCTCAGACATGAATATGCTCGGGTCTGTGCCTGCCCTAAACCTATGACCATAGGGATACCTGCTGGCATTGAAGCGACATCATATAACTGAAGCTGAGCAGACAAATTAGCCATCAAGACCCTTGATGTTTACCATGAGGGTCAATGAGATTTGTAGGCAGTGTGAGCTCTCACAGCCTTTAGAGTACAGTGGAGATGCTCCTGAATTCCTGGTACGCAGTCAGTAGAACAGACACCTGGAACAGCTTTCAGAGATTACCCTTTTAGACCTAGTTGCTGGCCAATGCTCCTTAGCCTAGCATTAGGTGCAGCCTGTCAGTCTTTCTGTATGCAGTCTGGTAACCCTTGCATGCTTCATCTGATCTACTCCAAATGTGGAATGAATGTCCTAAGTGGTGGTGGGTAGAACTCTCAAGTTGGGAGCTGGTGAGAAAGACAGAAATGGGAAAAGGCAGACTGGTAAAATACTGTTCCTATCTCTGAAACTGTCCTTAATCCAAAGATCCATTTGATAGCCATATTTATATCTTCCAGCTAACCCCGCTCTGCTCTTTGTCTTGGTAGATGTAAGATGTTGGCACTTTGTCCCAAACAGAGACAATACTAGGAGCAAGTAAGAAAGCCTAAGGAGGGCAGAATGGGGAAGAGAAGTACACACAGATTTGGCCAGGAAGCGAGGGACTATGGGACTTTTTTAGTTGAGGTGGAGTGACAGATGATATCTGGAAATCATGGTGGAGAATCTTGGTTTGAGGAAGTACGCAGCAACTCTATCTGGGGAAAGCTGTGGAAATAGGGAAGGTGGCAGACAGAGGTCATAGCACCGGCAGTGAGTGCAAAATATATAGCCTGAAATGTAGATGAGAATAATGGGCCCTATGAAGAGGGTGAGAATGGAAGCACATGCAGCCACTAGCATATGGGACATTCTGGGATCTGGTATGATGTGAGAGGAAGGACTGCAATTATTTGCTCTGTGAAGAGAATGATAGACACTTCTGAGAAGAATGAGCAACAGGGAATGCTCAGGACTGGTAAATCTGTAGGGGAAAACAAGTGAATGTTATCTGGGAAAAGGAAGGAATATAGGATGAATAGTTTGGGGACCTGCCCTTGAGCTGTGTGCTGGGGACATAGAGTATATACAGAGGCTTGAACAACAGGAAGTTCTAGAGAAAGGAAAACGAGAAACTGGTACACAGGAGAGAGCAGGAGAAAGGATGCAAGGAGACACTTGTCTGTGACAGCTACAAGCAAGCTGGACAAGCTACAACATTTGTAATGAAATAATAGTGGACTTAGTTTTTTATAGAAAACAAATAACAATAAATGAGACTGGACAACTCCATTTCAAATTCTATATATTCTTCAGTGTCATACACAGCTGAAAACATTTTTTTCTCCAGCTGGAACATGACTGTTTTTATTACAAATTCCTAACACAGTGTTCGCCAAACTTTTTTCAGCTATTCCCAAGATTCCCAAGTAAATTCCATTTTATGCTGTTATTTAAGTGTCAGCTCTGGTGTTAGGGTATAATTATGTTATGAATTGCTTGCCATTGTTATACAACAAGGATGTCATGTTTGAAAACAGAGGATGTGTCCTAGAAGAGGACTTTAAAAACATGAAGTTATACCGAAGATACCAGACAAATAAAATTTCACTTACACCAGTTTTGCGGGGGAAAGACCACATGTTCACATATCATTCTCGATGCTTACTGACATAAGCACGCTCTGATTCAGGCCCATTATAATGAAAGGATAAGAGAGGGGGAAGAGGCGAGGAAGACAAGACTATGCAAAAAGGGGGATATATGCTCAGTGTTCTAGCAGTGAAAATCAGGAGCGAGGGCTGATAAGACTGATGGGGTAAGGGAGCTGTGCAACAGAGCAGCGTGGGAAAAGAATTCAAAGACGTGCAGGGAAAAAGAGATGAAGGGACATGGCCACATTCATGAGGGTTCTTAATGTACATATCCTGAAAAAATATGCCACCATTCAACAGGGCTGATGGCAGAGCTGCTCCTGACCTCAGTGATGAAGAATTAGACCTCAGGACCTTCTGCAGTTTTCCAGCTCTCCCACACGCTCTGTTTTTTCTCTTGCCAGGACTGCAGTATTGTGGATGTTTCCTGGGTTTTGTTTTTACCCAGCAGTTCACCTTGGAAGCCATCCTACTTCTTTGTTTTGACAAAATGCAGCTTGACCATTGGCTGTCCACTTAGCTACTCAAAACTCAGCTTGTGTTTTTCCACAAACTTTTTGGGAACAAAACTGTGTTCAGAGCCTTCAGCCAGAGCTTCCTTTTCAGCTTTCCTGAGTCACTACACTTAGATTTTGGCAGAGGTAGGGGTTTTTGTTTTTCAGTGGAGGAGATGGGTTAAGGTCTAGACAGCTAGTCTGCTGTGATATGTGACAAGGCAAACGCCAAGGCTAGGGAGCCCCTCCGTACAGCTGAGCTGCCTTTAGTCCTGCTTTTTAACAACCCAGCTCAGCAAAGCACTTACACACATGTAGGCCGGCAGCTACCTAAATGTTTCACTGAAATTGAACTGTTTTCTTTTTCTCTTCATCACATCAAAAGAAGCTGAACACCTGGTAACTCTTTTTGAAGTCAGTATGGAAGACAACATGAATTGAGATAAAATTCTAATAGGATAAGGAATGCCAGTGCTGATGAGAACTGATTTGAACCTTGAGTCAGTTTCTGAGCTATGAAAAGCTCTAAGTCACTTTTATCCCCATACCTTGTATAATTCAGGATGTCAAAGCTTTTCTTTGCATTTCCTAGTCCTGGTTAGCACCAGCACTGAAGGGCATTACTGGAAGAGACTAGCTCTGCTTGCAAGCTTGCCAGCCAAGTTGCGCAAACTCAGGAGATTCAGTCAGGATGATTTTCTGACAAGTGTCCAATGCTGAACTCTTGCCCAGATAGTTTGTAGTTTACAAACCACTAGTTAAAATAATGAAGATACAGATGTTGAATGAGGAAAGAGCACTCAGCGGTTAGGGCACTAGCCCAGATATTGGGCAGACTGTTTTCAGTTCCCTGCGCTGACCTTGCTTGCTTGCCTGTCTTACCACGAGCAAGTGACCCAGGGTGTAATTTGTTTTAATGCTCTTCAGTCAAGAGAGAGAAATAGGTGCCTTCAGATTAAAATGGAATGAAACCTCCTCTCTGAGTATGCCTGCCCCTCCTCTGACAATCCTGAGAGCCTGAATAGCTTCCGCGCATAACTTAGATGTCACTTAGGTGACATTCCAGCCTTATGTCTCTGTGCTAGTCCTGTATCAGTATAACGCTTTCTTACCTCACAGGGGCTTTTTAGGACTAAACAGATAAAGTCATGAGGTACTTAGCTGTGATGAGGAGAGCTATATTAGCGCCCTATACAGGATGTTTCCAGCTGACCTTATTTGGCTGCCCTTAAGTCAGCTGGGTAGTCTCACTTAACTGCAGTCACTGCTGATGGGTTTGACCAGACGTGAAGCCAGAACAGGGCTGATAACATATGCTTCGGTGTGAGTAAGAGGCAAACCTTGTTCCTATCCCTTGAACTCTAAGACTCCCTTCAGATCAGAGTTGTTCCTTTCTGACAGACAGTAGAAGGACTTGGCAAGACAGGTTGATAGTCACCCATGCTTACCTCTGACTTTTAGATCTAGCTAGTCAGCCAGATTTGCCTCTCCAAGGTATGGACACAGCTTTGGGTTATAAGTTGGGAGTTTTAAATGTTCAAAATAATACACTGAAATATATTTAGAAACACCCTAATGAAAACGGACAGATAAATACATTTCCATGAGGAGTGGAATTGGATTAATTGAGCATATTGAAACTTTGACTTTTTATTTGATAGAGGTTCTATTCTGAAGCCTACTAGATTCAGTAGAAATACTCCCATGGGCTTTGGAAGGCTTTGGTGCTTCGGAAGACTCAGGGTCCCATGAGAAGGAGTGTGTAAGGATTTCATGATTTTTATCCTAAGCAATTATGATAACAGGTAGCGTCTGAGAACAGAAATATCACTCTTAGGATGTGGGGAAGGGGGGTCCCTCCACTCCTGTTCTGACTGAAATGTTGCTTTTCTACCTTACAGAGGAACAAGGAAACTTTGGGAAAGTGAATTCCAAAAATCTTGGCCTTCCCTATGACTATTCTTCTGTGATGCACTATGGCGCGTAAGTTGGTTTCTGAGGTTTTCTTTCATAGAAGCAAACAGTGCTCAGATCCTCTGCTCAGATCTGGGGAGACAGAATTGTTCTGTGCAGGGACTGGTTTTTGCTGTTCACTTAAAACTGAGTGAATAGACATCACAATCAAAGGTGAACACTTCCTCTGTCAGAGGTATTTGTAGAAAATAGAATTGGTGGGGATAGAAGAAAAAATTAGGATGATGTTTTCTATTGCCGTACTCGCACATCTTTCTAGAGGCATTTGGCGTGGCTATGATCGAAAGCAACTCTGTCAAGTCACTGAGCTAAGCCTGTTCTAAGTCTATGATAGGCTGTTACTGAGTTAATGAAATCACTTAGGCAACAGTGGGCAGAGAGAAAGGGAGGATAGATTGGTTTTATGGCATTAAGATGTTGTATGCTGCCACACAAAACTCTATTTATAATCTTGGAATGCTACCTAAGGTTGTGTTTTTAGTCCACTACATACAAGCTTGCATCATATACCTTTTCTGGCACTCCCACTAGCAAGTAACAACTCCTGGACAAAACAGTGAAATAAAACTTGTTTAGCAGGAGAAAGGAAATTGTAGGTATCAAATATAAAGAATTAGCAACTTAGACAAACTCTTGTAGATCCTCTGCCTCTTTGAACCGTGAAGGTGGGATTTAGCTCATTTTGCCAGGATAAAGTTCTCAGGACAATACAGTTTTAACTTGCTTCCTTCTTTCAGTTGCACACAAAATAGGTGCCACACTGTCTTCAAGAAAGACTAACTTGTTTCTGAGAAGGTTCTTGCCCTTTTCCATTATAGTTCTGTGCAGATGGTACATGGATATGTTTATGCAATTAGAGAACTTGACTGTTTGAAAGAAAAGCGATTTAGAAATGTGATTTCCTTATTTCTACAGGTATGATTTCTCTAACACTCCTGGGGAACGAACTATTGTACCAGTTCCTGACCCCTCTGTACCCATTGGACAGAGAGAAGGACTGAGTAACTTGGATGTGGCTAAAATCAACAAACTCTACAAGTGCAGTAAGTGCTGTAGACGCCAGGCATCCATTTATAGGTGAATCCTTTTCCAGTCAGTGTCTGTAGGCACTGGCAGACGTCCCTCAAAGGAACTCAGCCCACAATCAATTCCACACGTCTTTTCCTCAGCCCTATAAGAGGGCTGGTATGCATGTGGAAAGACTCATCCCTGTGCCCAGCTGCTGCTTCTTGGGAAGAGCAATTTATTTTCAATAACGGACTATTGTTCTAAGAGGTGTTGACGGGGTCCCTGCCCTTTGACACAAGGAAAAGCCATCACAAAAATCATCATGGTAGCTGCCTCTGAACTTCTCATTTCAGGAAAGCCCTGAAAGTTGCAAAGCGTGTGAGCTATCCCCAGCCATAATTATAGTTTAGAGTCCCATTTATCAGTGGTACCAGCAGGTCTGTGAGTTCTTTCAGTCAGAAAATGACTGCAGGGCTGTAAATATGGGTGTCATTTAGGCTGGTTAGAATATTTCTTTGAGGGGAATTCCCTTGGCTTTGTGTATAGTTATTTACTTCCTTGCCCTTCACTATAGTATTTGAAGGCCTAGAAACACCTAAGCATTCCTTTAGAGACCCCTATAGTATTTGAAGGTCTAGAAACACCTAAGCATTCCTTTAGAGCAAGAACTCTTCAGTCAAGGCACCGAATAACAGGTAAAACACCAGACATGATCCTGCAATGTAGTTTTGCCTTGACTCCCAGTAGAGAGGGTAACGGATTTAGGTTATTTGACTAAATCCGTCAAAGGAATTTGACTTTTCTGAGATGTTATTCTGTTAATTTCCAGCAAAAGAGTAAAATACATTAATATGGTCTGAATACTAGCATATGAAATTCTGCTCTGAATTGTGTGTGCAACATTGATAAATAATCTGTCAGTAATAGGAATCAGTACTCCTTCAACTAGATAGTTAGGTACAGAAATCAGGATGGTTCCTCCCAACTTCTCAACTGCACATGAGATGAGCTGTCAATTTAATAGCATCTGTCATCATCTCAAAGATAATGATTTCAGAAAGCAAATAAACTCTTGATAGGGGGTGGGGAATAAATCACATTTCAATACATAATCACATAATCACATTTCAATTACATAATTAGATCTGTAGCTTTTGAAAGAAAAGGGCTAGATTTCAGAAATGGGGGAGAGATGGGGAAAAACTATCGGGGGAAAAAATGATGCAAAATAAAGTCCAGTTGTCTCAAGGGCAGTGGAGAGGATGAGGAAAAAAAGATGCCATAATGCCATAAAAAGATGCCATAAAATATGTTCGTATTTTATAATTTTGGGAGTTACTCAAATAGTTTGATAAATAAGATTACATGTGGAAAGACAGAAGTTAGATGAGATCAAACTTTGCATACCAATAACTAATTCAATAACATGACTTTTGTGCTGTTTGTGCTGTTGCCTTCCCTCAGTGATTATCCCTCTTTGCTTTGTTAGAATTTGGTTTTTAAGCTTGACTCTGCATACACTTATGAATACGCACATTTGCTAATGGGAATGGATGTTTTGATGTGACTGAAACTACTCTTGCGACTGAAGCTACGCAAGTTCATGTAAGATCCAGACTTTTAGTAAACTGAAATATGTCAGTGAAGCCCTGCTGTCTTAAAATCCAGAAGCAGCTAGTTACCTTAACTAGTTGTATTTTGCTTATAGGTTTTGAATAGCTTTTACACTAGGAACATCAACACAATTGTAAACAAGATAATTTTCCTTACAAGCTTGTCTGATGCAAATTGGAGAGCTGTGTCTGGCATTTCTGGAAGATTTTTCTGTAGTTTTCTGTCTTTTCAGCATTGTTCGATTCTTTCCTTCAGATTGCTGTAGCTCTGTGTTGCCTAAACACAAAGGCTCCTTCTCCTCTGTCAATTACCCATCCTCATACCCGAACAATAGCAACTGCCTGTGGTTGATCCGCATCCCTCAGAACAAGGTAATTTTTATTAGGAGAAAGAAGGTTTGAACCACAGTGTCAAGGCTATATAGCATTATTTCTCTTCTCATTATTATGACTGGACTGTAGCATCTGGGAGCCATTTTCATGCACCAAGATCTTTATTCTGTTATGCAATGAATGAAAAACAGTCTCAGCGATTTTCAAAAGACTTATGTTTCTCATAGACTATCAGATGTATTATTTAAACTTGATTTTAACCAGTTAAGACTTGATGTCTTTTTTTAAAGATAAGCAGTAGTCAGGCATCAGTCATTGGGCTCAGTAACAGGGTAGCCCAGTGAAATTCTCTGCTTGTTATTCAGAAGGTCAAATTTCAGTGATAGATAGTAAAATGGATATAAAGTCCTGGTTCACTTGTTCATAACAATTAGTTTTAATCTTTCCCTGTGCACCCCAGTAAACCCAACATCTGTTTTCTTGTTTGTCTTAAGGTTTTCCTGCAGTTTGAGGCTTTTGATCTTCAATCCTCCTCAGACTGTTCTTCTGACTATGTAAAAATTTACAATGGAAACAGCAAGAATTCTCCTGTCCTGCTGGACAGATACTGTGGGAAGGGGCCACTGCCTGCCTTAGTTGCTTCTGGATCCACAATGCTGATAGAGTTTGCAAGTGATGAGACCATTACAGCCACAGGATTCAGAGCCTCCTACAGCAGGGGTATGAACACTCCTTTACAGAATTTGGAGAAAAGCATTAATGGTATTTGTATAGAAAAAATGAAAGTTTTCAAAATTTGCTCCAGAGTACATTTTTATTCTTTACACCTCCATAGGAATTATACAGAAGGCTAAGGGTTGATGAGGCTGAAGGTGAGCAGGAAACAGAAAACAGGATGTTGCATGGATCTTACATCAGTAGTCCTGAGAACCATTCTTCTGAGAGCCTCTGCTAGGCTTCTTCACGTCTTTAAAACATCTTTTTTAAATACAAAACAATGCAATTACTAATGGGAGCAGTGCAGCCACAGAGCAAAAAAGACTGCAGAAACAGACAAGAAAATCTCTCCAATGAGATGTAAAGTCAGGATTGGGGCCATATGTTATTCAAGCCTCTGTAGCACTTTACTCAACAGGAAGGATACTAACTTTGGGTAATTTTTACTTTCTGAATTAAAGGCTTTTAGTATGTGTTATGAAGTTCAATTCACTTCAGCAGTGTCTGTTTTATGAACACATCAATGCATTACAGATGGAGTGCTGGATATAATTGTGTTGTGCTGCAACATGCTTTTAGTTAGAAGGCACTAGTCCAAAAACCTAAATTCTTGTTACTTAGCTGAAAATGCTACCTTTTAAAAAAGAAATTGAGGAAGTCACAGAAATGTCATTTTTACTCTTTTCACGTTACTCTTGAAAGTTCAGTTCAGCTTTCTAGATGGAATCAGACCTAGCTAGATAATTTAATCCGAGATACTTGAGCTAATTCTTTTCTGAAAGTGCAGTAAATTAGCCCCATTGGAATGCTGTGTTAATGGCCTAACGCTTCATTGGAAAAGACAGATATATCTTTAAGTTCGGTTGCTCTGTCCTCCAAAGGTTATTTAGCAGCCATGCTTTCAGCTCTTTCAGCACAGCTGCTGATATAAATGCTAGGCAAAGAAATAATATAGTTGAGCAGTAGATTTCCAATGTAGCAAACTTTCTCTTGGCTTGAAGAAAAATACAAGAGTATAAGCAAGCTCACTTTTCTACTATCAAAATACTCTTGTCAATAAGCCTTTCTCTTTTTTTCTCCTTTACACCCTCAGTGAACTGTGGGGATACCTTCACAGTCTCAAATGGAGTCATCACCTCTCCAAACTACCCCAACAAATACCCTAAAAACCAAGCATGCTTCTGGATCATCAGTTCTCCAGTAGGATACAAGGTAAGGCACAGAGGAAATCTTTTGCTGCCTTCAGTAGTGTTCTCTATTGGAATCTTTTTGCCTTAGAGAATAACAGGTGTTATATCACATTTTAAGCAGGCATTTTAAGCAGGAGTGAAAATCTGAACACATAAACCCAGTTAAAATTATGCTGAATCTTGATATTTGATATGTTCATCAAGGGAAATCCTGTACATGTACATGTAAACTCCTATGAAATGAGCGTGTACCTGTACATTTTGCTCAGAATAATCCCTAGGTAATATAGTCACTACTAAGACACTGAAACATTGCACAGGTGCTCTTTCTGTTTTCCTCCAGAGAACAGAATTTAAAACATACAAGATCAATATTGCCCATTGCTTTTGCATCTAATGCAAATCCTGATAAATTCAACAATTTGGTATTAATAATTTCCCGTTACAATATGGGATCAGGATGTGGTCCAAATACAGAATAAAAAACATCACCTACACATAAGGAATGTAGACTCTATTTGTACTTGTTACATACAAAGGATATAACCTGAAAAGGATATAACCTGAAAGCAAAGTGCTTTGGTTGTATTTTCCCCAGATATCTCTCAAAATGTTATCCTTTGAGCTGGAAGATGATGACAGATGCATCTATGACTACTTGCTCATACACGATGGAAGCCAACCTACATCACCTGCAGTTGGCCCATTCTGTGGGACAGAGAAGGTTGCAGACTTCACTTCTACTGGGAACTTTGTACTAGTTGAATTTCACAGTGATATAGTATGGGAGTTTCCCGGATTCAAGATGAATTATATGTTTGGTAGGTAGTACCGTACAGATCAGGGTGAGAGGTGTGGAGAAAAAAAAAAAAGTGTGACCAACTAACCACAGGTAAAAGTCAAGATGTCACTGACTTCAGCAAAAAATAGCTGTCTGAATGCCTTTGACAAGCTTGAAGCTTGAACTATTAGTTTGTTACTTCTACAGCAGTGTAATTTGCATGGGAGTTATAGACAAAAATGTTCCTTCCCATTGGATGTTTGTTTGAGACTCCCAGCTTTTTGTTACAGTAATCTCATTGCTGGTGTTGCGTGGCTGAATACAATAGCAGAACTGGAACTCTGGAACCAGATTTTCAAGCACTTGTCGTGCTACATAGTGAGCTGCTTAGAAAATAGGCCCCAAAAGATTTCAGAATATAGCTATGGAGCAACTTTAACCCATATTCTGACAAATGTTATTACCCACCCCTAATCTGCATTCCAGTATGCATACAGAAAAACCTTGAGGCACATGCTCACTTGTGCTTTGAAACAAAGCTTGCTTTTAGAGTTAATATAGGCACCTTCGCTTGGCCTGGAAATCACCACTTTGCATTGAGGATGCAAGCCAAGATTCTGGTGCGGCACCTCAACTCAAAGAATTTTACTAACCCCTCTTTTGTGAGGTGAACTAGATCAGGGAATTGATTTGACTAAAAGGAAGCCCTTAATAGCAGGAGCATGCAGTCAGGGAGAGGGCAAGGAGAGAAGCATGACAGACATTTGTATGAATAAACTATGTCCTGAGTCAGTCAGGTCAGGTACTGCCATTGTCCATGGGGTATTATCAAAATATTTTTTTAATGACATACCTAATGAAAAGCCTATCAAATGCAAATGGACTCAGTAACTTTGGACATCATACCAGGTGTGAAGTACCTTGTCTGTACAGAGAAATCTTCCACCTCTTAGGAGAGGACTGAAGAAGAGAGAGACATCACTACTGTGGATGGCTAATGCTTTGGCTTAGGCTTGATGTATTTAGAGCTAAATGACAGCACTGAACTGAAAGATGCTAAAATATAATGTTCTTGCTGCAATTATGCCATTGTGAAGAAGAGTACACAGAAAATGCCACTATTTCACAGTGCCAGGAAGGCAGCCAATCAACAGTTGTTTTTTTTCCCTTTTCTTTTACCAAGGATCTGTTGTAATGTTTTGCTTTTTAAGCCCTGGTTAATTTTCATTCTCAAATGAATGATATTTGATAATACAGCTGTGTACATCAGGGTCTGCTAGCATCATGATGGGAAAGTGCATACACACCGGGCAACAAGTATTTGTAATTCTTATGAGCGCCTGTCTTCTGACTGTCTTTTGTCTTATTTGACTTCCTCTTTATATTTGCACTTTGTTGAAGGATGTAACAATTTCAGCAGCATGGGAGAAAAAAAACCTATTTCTGGCATGGTTTTCACTGCTAAAATGAAGGGATGGTATGGTCTTCCTTCCCCTTCTCCCTCTCCCCCCAACTCCCCCTGCCTTTTGTAATTGATTTATCTCAGAACAGCTGAAAAGTGCAAGAGGGCTTGAAATAATACCCTAACAAGGGGGAGACACTTGGCATGACTGAGATGCAGACCTAGATATAGTCAGTATGTCTGTCTCCTGGTAACAATAAAATACTTTCCTTTGTGTTTTTGCCCAAAGAAAGCTCACATATGCTAGTTACTGATAAGGTAGACACTATTTTTTTTTCCTAGTGTGGGAAGTCTTTTAGGTGGTACCTGAAGGCTATGCTTGTATTGCAGCTAGAAGGCATGCTAGTCAGTCAGAAACTATTTTTAGCATAAGTTCCAAAAACAGTAGCAGGGAAAACCAATCAAACATAGCTTCAGATGCCTAAGATTTCATTCAGGATGTGAAGTCCATGCTTTTCCCTCTGCTGTTATCCAAAACGTCACTACTTGCTATATGAGGGGACTAACTACAGCTCCTGAAGAGAGCTGTTCTCTCTGAGAAATAGAGCAAGACAATCTCAAATACAATAACTTTGTATTTTCATAGGGCAGCATAGAATGCATTCATCTTCCAGTTCAACACACAGTCCACTTTCTGCTGGATTTGCTGTTATACCTAGTGTGAACCTGGAATGAAGACTATGTATGCCTGTGGAAGACGGGAGAAGCAAGTTCCAGGAATTAAACTTCAGCAACTTCAGACTATACAAAAACTAATTCTCCTCACTGACTGTCTATTTGGGTGACAGATGCTGAGGGTTTTCAAGGGGATGCAGAAGTAATAACCCCCATGACAACGCTTATTTTATGCAAACTTGAACTGGGTCTCTCTTTTAAATACAGTCAAAGCCATCAGCTGTAATAAGTCAGATGAGTATCACTTGAGGCTCCCCGCTCATAGCCTGATGTGGGCTCCACACCAGGCCATCTAGGTTCAACGTTTTAGATGCTCACCCATATTTGTGGAAAAGGAGCAACCATGGACAACATGCGAAGCAGTGATTATATTATACAGTAATATTCTTGCAACTTGTCCCTAGAAATATGGGGTTAAGTGGGAGTCAAAAATGTGGCAATGTGACCCTAAAGGCAAGTTTCTAAGGGCATGCACCTGGCGAAAGACTCCAATCTTATCTGTCTTGAAAACATGAATTCAACAGTACTGTTACAGGAACGCATTCCTTCCTGAATCTGCAGACACCCTGAAATATAAAGTTACAAATAATTTTTCTCTTTCAGATCAAGGGCTTTTCAATCTGAGAGCTAAACATTCCATTTTTCATCAGTTGTTAGGGGTCCTTATTAATCATTTTCCTTAAGGGATAAGCATGTTAGCTGGAGTTCCCACACACAATCCAAACCACCTTCCAGCCCTCTACAGAAATCAAAACCTTTAGCTTTCCTCTAAGCTCTGCTCAAATCTCTGGTTTCCTGCTGGCAGTCTCTGCTTTAATTATACGTTATTTGTCTATAAATCTGTGGCCTGCCAAACAGGAAAATGCAAGGTAGAGAGCATCATTTATTTTGATAAATACCTTCATGAATGGCATTCTTTCAGTAAAGACTACCGCTCATTTTCATCCAGTTAGTTCCAAATTTTAAATGGAGAAGCTGTAGACTCCACAGACCTTGCTAACAGGTCTACTCAACTGAACAGTGTAAAGGGATTTGTCTCTTATAGACAATAATCCTCTCACAATGGGCATTGTCCATAAATAATGATTCATAAGCTACTGTTAATATTCAGATTCTGAGATATATGAATTTAGAGCAAACAGCCAGTAGACAGCAAAGACAGTATGGCCAAAGGTCCAGGATTCGAATATCGTCACAGGAGGATTTTGAGAGGTTCAAATTAAAGTTCAGCATTCACTTAAAACATCTTTGAAAACCAACATGTAAGCATTTAACCTTAAAAATTAGAGGTACCTAGCAGTGACAAATATATCTTATTCCCACATATGTATACACCACATGAAACAAAAACAGGTGCTACCTTAATTGCATGCAAAGACAAAACTGTGATAGAACAGAGCCACCTCCAGTAATCTGTGCACATGCGACAGGCAAGAAGAGCATCTGTGTCCATGCAGTCCAATCTTACCTGCTTTGGGATTGTCCACGTTCTTATCAAAGTGGCAAGTCAGGGCCTTCTAGGGTATGCTTTCTTAACCTGTAAAAGTCAGAACAGAGATTTGCTAATTACCGCTGCTGAAAAAAGCAACTTGGAATAGAGCATTACAGAAACATAAAAAAATTACTACTTATTGGTCTTTTTTGCTTAATTTAAAATACGCTTCTCTTACATAAGTAAATAAGTGTGGTTGAGCCAACGTTCACTTGAATGACTAGAAGCCCCCAGGCCTGACAGAAAATAAAGGCAGCTTTTGGCACGCTGATAGTACAATTGATTCCTCATCTGGAAGAAGGAAACAAGCCTACTACGACAGTAAAAGGCTACTGAAACTCAGTTTTCAATTTCAATGCAGTCATCTGCCCTTTTTATCACACTGAACTGTAAGGAGAAGCATTGCAGCCTGGGAGACTGAGCAGTCATACAGTCACATTTTGAATCAAGTTGAACTTTTCAAGGCCGTAAGATTTACTTCTAGGTACATCGCATTATAGTAATTGAGCTGCAAGATCATCAAGACCAAGCCAAACACACTTAGGTACAGTTTTCTAGCAAGTCAGAAGAATAAAGCACGTGCAGCCATAACTACTCGAGGCAGAGAATGTACAACTTTCTATGCAACAACTGAGTTTTGTTGAGATGAAGGAATATTAACCAAAGACCGTTTAAACTCTCCTATATGTCAAACGAAAACTTTATAGCCTAAGTCACCACACAGGATTTTAATAATCTGAGTTCCCTTTATCATAGGAAATATCTGCGTGCAAGAAAAGAGAGAAAACCTGCAGCTGTTAGGCTGCCAAGCAGTCTTCTGGTGAAGAACCTGCAAAGACTAAACGGGAGCCAGGCACCACCTGGTGGTCAGTAGTAAGTAAATGTAAACGTGCAGCTGAAACATGATGCTATTCCCTCTTGAAACATGGTAATTCCCTCTTCTCCATAAGCAACACTCCAGCAAAGAGGGAGTGAAATCTTCTCCTATCACGATCACGACTGTCAGTTGCATATGACAAATCCCTCTGAAGCTTCTCTAAACAATTAAGTTAAATTTCTTTAACTGCCTTGCTCTCTCTTGTTCATTTGGTGATGCTCTCTGAACATAAAGATTCTTTGGGTTGCTTCCAGTATTTTATATTAAGGAGAGGCACTCTAAATTACACCTGTCAGTCTGTAAATTGCACTGTAACATCTAAATTGAAATTTTCTCTTCCCCTTTTCTTATTGACCAGCTCAGCAGTAAAGGCAAGGCCAAATAAGTTTTTTATTTGAGTCACTCCTGTGATTTTAGATTTGGCTTGATTCTGTTTTGTGCCTGTAGTACCTCGAATTTTCAGGTGGCATCTGATACAATTGCTGGACAGGCCCATATTTTAGCTTCCAAGTTTTATGCAATTGTTCTTTTAATTTCTAATGCTCTTCACTGTATTGAGGGGAAAAAAAAAAAAAAAAAGCTTGAGGGAGAAAACCCAAAGTTTTTCCTTTAAGTTTAGCTCTGTTCAGATAATTAACGAGTCTTACTTCCTTGAACAGATTAGTCAAATTCCAAATTTAATTGTGCATGACTTTACACTGTGGACTTATCTATTAAACAGACGAGTAAATAAAGGAAAATGTTATTTATTGTAAAACCACAAAATTAACTAGGTGGCTCATGTGAAACTATGGTACGTAAAACTACATCTAATAACTTTTTTTGGCAAACATTGTAGGATATTTCTTTTTCAATGTATGTAAACAAACACTGGGAGAAATACTGGCTAGAGTTAACTGGAATTTTTCAGTTAATTTCAGCTGATTTCCCACTCTTCTGAAACAGGATCTCACCCACAGGTTTAACACACCAAAAAATATCTTGGGTGCAACTGAGTCAACATCAAAAAATGCACTGTTTGTCTCATTAACAAATACAGCCAGCAACAGCTAATAGGCAACAATGCAACACTCTACCGACTACAGACGCAGTATGGGAGCATGCCACACATCAGTGCACATAGCAGCGATGCCCTACTGAAACAATGCTTTCAATAATTACTTCAGTCAATATCCAGAAATTAAGGAAGCACTGTTAAGAGTCACCCCACACCCTAGCCTGCTAGTCCCATTTCAAAAGCGCCAGCAACTGTTGCTACTACGCGAACAACGGCGATCAGAAACGGAGCGCGAGAGGCACTGAGCACAGAGAAAGCACGGGGAGCCCACGGCGGCTACTGAAACAATGCTTTCAATAATTACTTCAGTCAATATCCAGAAATTAAGGAAGCACTGTTAAGAGTCACCCCACACCCTAGCCTGCTAGTCCCATTTCAAAAGCGCCAGCAACTGTTGCTACTACGCGAACAACGGCGATCAGAAACGGAGCGCGAGAGGCACTGAGCACAGAGAAAGCACGGGGAGCCCACGGCGGCCTGCGG